TCTTGAGTTTTAATACTTACAGTCAAATGAACCTCATTACTGCTCTGGGTTCATCTTCATATTCATATCAGACACTGTTTTGTGGCACAAGCTTTTCTCATCTGAAAAACAACACGTCAGTATTAATAATACTAATAGTAATACTACTACCACTACTAATTATAATAATAATAACAATAATAATAATACATTTCATTTATAAGTGCCTTTCTGAACACTCAAGGTCACTTTACAGAGTATTATTTATCAGTTACTGTTTCAATCTAACGTAAAAAAAAAAAGAAAAAGGACAAAATGTTCTTCTAAAGAGGAGGTCTGGCTGAGGAACAACCTGAAAACCTGCTCAGGTAAGGCAACACTGTATGCATTTAGCCAATAAAAAGAGACCTTTCATCTGGTGACCATAGTTTGATTAGTGAAAACCAGGACCAAAACCAGGACTCAGCCCAGCTATGTGATACTCTATATCTGTAGTTTTCTTCTTCATCCTAGAGGCCCAATGAAAAACTATGAACACCAGGATCAGGACCAGGACAGGACAAAAAAACAGGAGGTTTGGTCTCCCTATCATATGCCCCTGAAGCTCGGAGAGTTCCTGTTTTCATCTGTGTTGTCCTGCAATTAACTTTCAGTTTGTCTCTCATGAAAGCTTCCATCTGCCCCAAGTTTCAGACATGACAAATAAGAAAATATTTGTTTCTCATGTAGATGTTTTTTTGTTTTGTTTTGTTTTTTGTGATAAAGAGGCATCAGAATTCAAGTCAGTCTGTTTCTTAACCAGTAAAAAAATCATTACTGGAGCGTTAATGTCTCCTGAGGCTGACTCCACAGGTTTCACATGCTCATGCAAATACACAGTCAGTGTAACACTCGGGGCTCTATTTTCGTGCCTCGCCAGAGACGTGCCGCAAGCGCGGCGTAAGTCAGGTCCGCTGCGCCAACAAGGCGTTCCCAAGCACAATTTGGTATTTTGGTGAGCAGCGCAGCCCGGCGTAAGTATCCCCCCTCCCTAACTCAGCTCCTCCCAGCGGTGTAAGTCGTAGCGAGGGAGGAGAAAGGGCGTGGATTGAGTTTTACACAGCCGAGACCTGTTTTCACCAATCACATCAGCTCCTCTCCTTACCTTTAAATCCGCCACAGGCGAGGCATATTACTATTTTCATGAAGTAGTCAAAGAGATCAAGAGATGTCTGAACACAGTAATGCCACAAGATGGCGACAGAAGCCAGCTCCTCAACAAGTGTCACTTTAAGCGCTGCATTGGGTGTCCTCCACACTCTCTCATATGAGCACAGATGGATTTGGTGTGTGTAATGTTGGACGGACTGGTAAGACAAACACCCTTTTCCACAAATAAAGACACTCACATAAAGTTGCACATATTCAAACCTCACGTGACAAAGGTGGGTTGTGCGTACAGATCACAACATAAACTCCAAAAATGGCATTAAAATTGGAACCATCTGTGCGTAAATGACGCATCACGCTCCATGGCCTGGCTCTTTCTTTCATAGATGTTGGCATATAAAATAAATTTGCCTCACAAAACTGAATATTATAATATCCGTATGTCGGCTTAAAAGAGATAACGCATCTGGGCACTGAAACAAATCATCTGTTCAGCCGCTGCAGGACAGAGAGAGGACATGGAGACGTGTCCAGGTCGAGCTGCGCGAGAAATAAGGGGAAGAGGAAGAAAGAAAAGGAGGGAGACGAATTACATATCGAGTTAACTTCATCATGTGTGTCTATTTACTAGATATTTAATTCATTTTAATGCGGTTTCAGCTGTGTTGATTCGGTCAGGTTGTGTGTCCAAACGCGTGCCAAATGCGCTCATCAGATCAGATATAGATCAGAATATATCTATATAGATCTAAATGTATGTGCTGACTCAGATTATTAGTTGTTATTGATTATTTATTGCACTGAAATGTGCCTGACACTGTGGAAACCTGCCGGTGAGGCATCGGTGACGTATGCCAATACGCCGCCAGTCTACCAAAATACTACTAGACCAGCTGCGTTCCGCCTGCGCTGAAAGCTGACCAGGTTTGAATCGGCGAGCTTTCAGCGCACTTTACACGCCAGTGGCGAGCACGAAAATGTCACTGCGCCCGCTGATTCTGTCGACACCTCCCCCTGCCACGCCACCACGCCCAGCTTGGCGGATCTCGGCTCGCCTCCGTGCACCTCAGTCCACGAAAATACCAAACTGGCCGTACACCGGGCTGCGCCAGACGAAAATACAACTGCGCGGGGCTCGCCGCCCTCTGTCGCCTAACCGGCGCGCACGAGCCTCTCAAGTGGTGCACAAGAGCAACTATATCATCTGATTAACGCCAATTACAGATTGTCCTGCTGCCAGTCATAAATGCATAAATGCACGCTTCAAAAACGGGCGGGGGTAGTGTAGTTTTGAGACCGAATTCGAAGCGCGCTTAGCATTTCATGCCAATTGGGACACCGTTCACACCGCATGATGACATCACGCACAGTCTGAACGTTTGACGGTGCGATCTCTGACATGAGACACAGCCTGAGTAAGCAGCTCCACCTGTCAATCAAACAGGCCAGGCCCCTGATTATGGGGAACTGTAAAAATCCTGTGAGGAGTTTTTCGCCTTCAATGAAACAAACTGAAACTCACTGTTATGTTTTTATATGATATTTAAAAACAAGACCATCAGTGTAAAGATTGATAATTTAGTTTTTGGTTGTTGTTTTTTTAAGTCGTGCTGTTGAACAATTGATAATTGAATCAGATTATCCATGATGATGGATGAACCTTAATTTTAATGGCCCTGTTTCCAAGTATTGTGTAAATGATCCTCTCCTCTAGAAATACTTTCCAAAGGTCCAGTGACTTTGGTGTGCAGGAGACCCAGACTATCTCATCTGGATTGAAGAAAAAGGTTCTTCATTTGCATATAAAATACCAGCTGGCAGGACTTGAATAAAAGGGAGGACCGTTCAGACTTAATAAATTGAAAAGTTTTCTTAACAACAACTAAACTTGAAACAACAACAACAACAAAAAAACTCAACTGAAAAATCCTAAGTAAAAAACACAAGGAGCAAAAACCCTGAACAAACAAGAGACAGTGGGAAAACCATAAGGAGGCCAGGTAGGGGTTCACACACAGACACTGACAATGAACCAACAAAGAGGAACTAATTAGACCAGGTAACGAAGGCAGGTGAAACACCAGGATACAGGTGAGGACAATCACTGAGGAGGAAAAACACAGGAAGTAAGACTTGACTAGACATACTGTTGACATACTGGGATCCACTTGAACTAAAAACCTTTGGTTATAAAGCACCTCTTTTATTATGGAGTTTCCAGAGATTGACTCACTTTTGGGGACAGCTTCTAGTGGACACTTGAGGGACTGCAGTTTTCTGCTTTGACTTTATAGTTTTAACCCTGTAATCTATGTGCAAAACAACCTTGATTTTAGTATGACAGGTACTATGACAGGTACATGTTTAAATTTGTTCATGTGGCATTAAAAAAAGGTTCCTCTATTTTTGAAATAAAGTCATTTTTATCAAGTTTTCAGTATTTTAGGAACAGAGAAGCTCAGTGTTGAACTTTTAGGAGAGTCAATCCCATCCCACGATTCAATGTGAGAAACAAACGTATGAACCATCAAATACAGCAGCCTCTCCTGAATGTGCCAGATCAGACCATGACCATAATGCTTGTTCAGTCCTTGGCAGTGGTGGATTTAGAGGGTGGCTACTTGGGCTCAACCCTGTGATAGTTTCTCAAAAGCCCCGGGTCTCAGATCTCAGATCTAAGCTGGTCTGAGTTAATTGTGCAGTACTTGAGTTCACCAGAGAGTGGCAGCATGCACAGGAAAGCAGCCTGTAGCCTTCCCTGTTCAGATGAAGAAGTGTTTCCCTCTAGCGGCTGTTACTAAAGTGCCTCCACGGCAAATATTAAACTGAAAAAAAAAATGGATATCTGAAGCTTTTTCAAAAAGCGGACGGTGCGGACCACTACACCACCCCCAGCACCAGCAGCAGCAGCAGCGGCTGCTGCTGCTGAACAGACTGATGTTCCAGGTTTGTGAAGCTTTGACTGATTTTGCTAGCTGGCTATCAGTAATATAAGTAATTGCTGTGTGCGTATGTGTGTGTCTAGTCTAATTTTATTTTAGGAGTCGATTGACGCATCTGAGCATCAAAATCACATGACCTATATAAGTGGATGTAGCTGAGCTGAGCTGTAGCTGGAGCTTGCCGAGTTTCCGTTTCAACTTGTCTGAAAAGCGAGGACTTCAAACCATATGCCAGTTTTTAATTTGTGTTGTTGATACATCAAACAAAACCAGAGTTGTGAAAAATTATGTACGCCATACTTTTTCCTGATTATTTTCGTCATGTTCAGTGCTCGGTCGTGCTGTATGAGACAGGAAAACACAGCATGCAGACACTAGCGACAGCTCTTGTAAGTACCATAACCCCTCTCCTATTGGTGAAAAGCTGTACCACAACAACCATTCAAAAATCATATGGCAACTGATTGACATGGAGCGGGCGCTTGCACTCTTCCTTTAGCAAAAAAAGCTGAGGGAGATACAGCGGAGCTACAGTCTCATCTGGAGGGTCAGTGTTATCAACCTAGCAACTTTGTTGTTAGATTTAGTGACTTTTCAGAGCCCTTATTGACTTATTTAGGGAAAAAAAAGAACCTAGCTACAAATCTAGTGACTTTTTCTGGAGTTTAGAGACTCTACCATGAAAGCAGACTTTCCTTACTGAGGAGTTAGCAGCACTGCTCAGGCAGCAGAGCCAAAACAAGTGGACAGCTCTGAAATGTATTTAAAGAGTGAGGAAGACAAAGCAGAGGAAGAAGTGAAGAAAAAGTGAGGGGAAAAATGTACAGAGATGGAAATCACACAAAAACTTTCGGAGAAAGCAAAAGAGGAGAGACAGCAGATGAAAAGGGTTCAGAATAAAGAATTGAAGAACAGAGCAGTAAAGGAAAGCAGAGGTGTCAACCAGGATCACAGGTATAGAAGTAAGGAAATAAGATGCATTTTATTGTACTTTATTTAACTTCTTTAGTTTATGATCTATCTGAATAACTTTTTTTTTAATATTATCTTCTCTCAGCGGACATGAGGCATATGTTCATGACATAAGACAGTGACTTCAACAAGGCTGGTGGTAGGACATTTGCATCATTAAAGGGTCTGAATTTTTAAGTGTTCTCCTCCATGTGTGGTAGCAAAAAAAGACGGAAAAAGTAAATCAGCATCTGCGCCCTCAGGGCATAGCCCCTGGGCATACCCCTGAGGGCGCTAGAATCCTAGAGCCACCCCTGATCCTCGGTGGTATGTCAGCTGTAAAAGCTCACAGTGATTCAGGCCAGAGTGGTTAAATATTTGGCCCTCTTGAAGATTATAGCAGCGATGATGGCAGAAGATCCTATTTTCACAGTTTCAGACCGACCCCCCAGACATGAACCATATCTGAACCCTGAAACCTGCAGATCAGCTTTACTGTCATCAGGACCCTGGTGTGTTGTTAAAAGATTTACTCGAAATGTATCCATGTGTTTGTGTGTCACGGGAGGTGAATCCCCTTTAGTCGCCACTGAGAGCCCTAACATGAGGAAGGAACAGTTGCGTTCGTGTCAGGAGTTAAGCCTGACAAATATCAGAAGGTGTCTAAGCCTGTTAACCATGGAGGGACGGCTGCCAGCTCTCTACATAAACTCTTACAACAGCAGAACATGGGGGGGGGGGGTTAAGGGGGTAACATCAGAGGTGTCATTAAAAGAGGAAAAATCAACAAAAGAGGACAGCAGAGATAAAGGTACCTGAAAAAAGAGGGAGGAGAACAAAAAAAGCCAGAATTCAGGAAAAGAACGAAATACAGAGGACCCGACAGAGAGCCTTGAGGACTGAACACACAGTGTCTTTATGTCGTCAGAAAAACATCAACTGAAAAAAAAAACTTCTAATCTGAAAAATGTGATCTGGTGTTTTTTTCAGAGCTAAAATCCAGAGTCTTGTTCTCCATCAGTTTATTCAGCTTTTACATCTCTCTCTAACAAATGTCCAAACTAAATCATCTCGTAGAATCAGAAACGTTCTGAAACTGTTTTGATACATGCACAAAACTTCATAAAAACTTCCAAAATTTTCGAAAAGGGTTGCATATGAAAACACAAACGGACAGACTTTTATAACAGGACCTTTTCTGCTGGCCCCCTTTTTTAAAAGGAGGTCAGGTGATCCAAAAAATTCACCATCAGAGAGCAGACAAGGGTGACAAAACTGAGAAAGTGAAGAATGTGAGGTGAAGGAGAAAAATCTTTTCACAGTGAGGACATCTGCACATCGATTCATGTTTGTGTTTCTTCTCTCTGTACCTTATCTACTCAAAAGTGCGATAGGAGTCTCCTTTGTCAGCGAAGCTGTCAATCGATTATTGATAAAAATCAAATAATTCTTATAAACTAAACTTGTTGAAAAAACTCACACTTTGACGTAAATCAGAAACCATGCTTGAGTTCAATTTTTTTTTGCTTTTTTTGATAAATAATTCTATAATTGCATTTATTCATGTATTACATGTAAAGGCCCGTGTACATCTGTTAACATATGGGAGGGCGGGTCTGTGCCCTATGCTGCAGCCAGCCTTTAGGGGGAGCTCTATATCTGTGGTGAACTCATTGTAAACAAACAACTTTGGAATTTTACAGAAATTTTCAGGCCAGTCTTTCTTGAAATTTTTGTGACATGTGTGAAAAAGGTACATATTATTATACGCTTTATTATTGAGTTTATTTTTTAATTATTATAGACGCATCTTCTGCAATTAATGCAGCCCGAAAGGTAAGATGCATCCAGGCATGGCATATATCAAAATGTGCGTCTCCATCGTGTGACAGTGGGTATTACTTTCCTCTATCATTACTGTTTCTATGGCAACGCTAGATGCCAAAAAGCTGTGAAAATTTCCCCATGTAAGCAGATGGGAGAGAGCAAGAAAAAAAAAGATTTTTTGCATGACTTTGACACCTTGCCCTGTCGCCATACTTTGATGTAGAAGCATGATTCAAACATCAAAACGTTGACACCGGACCTGTAATTTCAAAAGTGTAGAAGGCCCCTCAATATCTGGTACGGTTTGGCCACAGTAACTGTTCAAGCAGGTGTGCAAATGAGGATTTTCTGTTTTTTAGAGTGATGACTCATCATTTTAGAGTGAAGAGAAGTGAACGTGTAATCCCAATTTTTAATTTCTAAATCACTGCCACGGCCACAATTTTCACTCGACACACACAAATTATACATCAAAACGTAGGAAATCTACCAGCCAGACAGGAAATGTGGACCTTGAAGCTGTGAGATGCTCACTTTTTAAGCTTCAAGGTTTTGTTAGGGAGGAGGTACCTGTTTCACCTCCATCCACCGCTATTCAAAAAGAACACAAATGCTCCACATCCGACTGTTGCTCATTTTCTCCAAACAACTCGCGATCCTGTCTAAACTGTAAAGCGTAGCAACTTGTCCTTCTGATATTTCGTAGCTGTATTTTTTTTTCCAATACCACTAGTGAGATATCAAGTTTCCTATTCAAAGTGAATGGAGCTGCTGAAAACATGGGGTGGTCTCCATATTTGGAGCTTGAGGTATAAATGTGATTTGAACTCTGACCTTTAGATGAGACCCGAACCTTTCAAACTGCGAAAACTGCATTTCAATATCTCTTACAGTTTTCCTACAAGGTGAGTTTGTTTGGGCCAGTCCTGTTCTAAGCAGGCAGAGGCTAAGCGAGGCTAAAGGTCCTTACACACCAGGGACGACGCAAATATTCGACGAGAAATTACGAAATATTCATAGGCGAATTTTGATTTGCCTGACTGTACACATCAAGCATGATGCGATTTTGTGACTTTCCGGGTGGGAAAAGACGCGTCCCGGGTGGAAGCAAGAAAAATGACACAACACTAGACTGAATGTTTTTCAGTTCTGATTAGACACTAGTGTTGAGATGTCTGTCATGATAGCATGTACTGAGTTGGGGCCAGTACCAGATAAGCACATTAAACTATAATCCATAAACATAAGGTAACAACCAAGACCTAATGGTGCTGTGACAGCAACACAAGATGCGTTTGAGTTTTTCATTGCAAAGAAAGCACGGTTCCTTCGTTGAGTTTGAGACAGTGAAAATACATATAGTATGTTGTATCTGAAATTCCCTTCGGGGATTAATAAAGTTCTTCTTATTTTATCTTAGGTTAGCTTACGAGCCAAATTTACTTAGCACAGATGAAAGTTAAAACAAATACATTTAGCAAACTGTTAAAGCACACAAACCATCGTTCTATGGGAGATCCGACGCTGTGACTCTCCACAAGTTGTCCTTCAGGTCGTTATCTTTGTAATGTGTGTGTGTTTTTTTTTAATCAAAAAGCACTTTGTTCTCTGACATGTAAACAATCAGCCGGTCGGCCGTGTTGGATATACCAGTGAATCTGACGTCGCAACAACACGCAGTCTGATTGGTCAGAAGTTGACACACAGAATGTGAAAATTTAGAAAAATCGACTGTGATGCGAAAAAATAAATGCCGCAAAATCGCAGGACGGGTTCGAAATAATTGCACGAAAAAAACACTCCCGCTATGTAAGGACCTTAAGTCAGTGTCACAGGTGAGCTGCAGGTGCACTGTCACCATGGAGATGATTCCCACTCAGAGCACAGGGCCCGCCTACCTTGCCCGCTTGATTGACAGCAGCAGTCTTCCAGACACCACAACACAGAGACAGCCAGATTGCCTTGAGTTTCAAGTCAGATTTATGACAAAGGCCCTAAATCATCAATGCTTTGACATATCAGCACCATATTTGACATGTCCCCTCATGACCCCACTCTGAAGACATGTCCCACCAGCGGCCATCTTGGATGACTTCACCATCCCCAAACATGGAGTAGCCCTTAACGCATGTTAAGGGCCCTCATGTATCTCCACCCATAGTTGGCCTAAATGTGAGTAAATCAGCGGCAAGCAGCAGTGAATCAGCAAGTGGGCAGGCACATATCAAAATTTCCCTTGAATTTTTTTGTTACTATTATCATAATATGTATTCCTGTGAGGACTGAGACCACAGACTGGGATGTACTGTGCGGCCCACATGGTGATGACATAGACACCATGACAAGTTGTATCACAGACTACTAGGCTGTATTGGCTGAGCGAGATCGTGTTGGTTCGTTCCACTTCAGTGGGGCAACATAAACTGTGATTCATAAAATAGCTCTATTGATAGTAAGTACTGAAAAAAAATATCTGCTCATGCCAACCTGTCGATTTTTAGTAATCAGTGTTTCGGTGTCGAACTATTTCCTTTCTGTGGCGCAGTGAAACTTGCACACGCGCAAGCTGACGTCTTGCCAGAATCAACATAGCAGTTTCTACAAGCAAAAACAGCAGCACCATATAATTGCTTTTTGAGTTACTCACATATATGTACATTTCTGGCTGGTGACGAAAGTCAGACAGCTAGTCTGAGTAGATATTTTAACCCAAAGTCCAGAATGGTATTGTCTATGCAAAAATGCATTGAACAAGTAGCACCAGTGTAGTGGAGCGAAATTCACTTTCTAGGCACTTTTTCCTTTGTCCCAATACAGCCTATAACCTTGAGCGAAGTTTCTTTGGCGGAGTTTCAGATGCCGTGGACGTGGATGCATCTGCGATGCTGCCTGAAGGGTTTGACTGACCCGCGGCTGCATCACGTTCTTGTTTCTCAAACGCCTTTTGCAAATAAATCGCTGGTAGCATGTCATGTGAAACCCAGTGTCATAAGGAACACTGTCAAAGTCGATATCAACGCAATGTTTATAAGTTTCTGCAAGGTCCTTTGTCTCACCCTGTAGAGAAAGCCACTTTCTAATACTAGTTCTGTAAATTTCCCAACGTGCCCTTGTAAAGTCAAGAACGTCTTCACTCTGGACAAGATGATAGATGCATATAGCACTGTTTCGCTCCTTTTGTATGCACTTTTGAAGGCTGTTTTCTTTTTTTCCCTTTCTTTTCTTCCTCTTCGCTTGTCCCGCTGCTAGATGCGCTCGTCGCCATGTTTGTGTATTTCTGATACTATGGCAACAAGACTCGGCTCCTATTGGTCCACGTGACAAAAATCGCTTCACCCCTCTGCATATTCGATTGCGCGTGTGCAAGTATCACTGCGCCACAGAAAGGAAATAGTTCGACACCGAAACACTGATTACTAAAAATCGACAGATTGGCATGAGTAGATATTTTTTTTTAGTACTTACTATCAATAGAGCTATTTTATGAATCACAGTTTATATTGCCCCACTGAAGTGGAACGAGATTCACTTTCTAAGCACTTTTTCCTCTGTCCCAATACAGCCTATTCTGGAAACCAGAAAGATTACTATAGACTGCAGTTTTATAGAAGCATGTCATCCTCTTCCACAAAGAAATACCACCAAACCTCCAGCTATTATCCTCAGATTCACCAACAGAAACCATAAGATATGGCTACTAAAGCAATGGAAACAATTAAGAGGAACAAATGTCTATGTAAATGAGCACCTGACCAAAAGAAATGCTGACATTGCAAAGAAAGCACGGTTCCTTCGTAAACAGGGAAAAATCCAGTCAACCTGGACCTCCAGCTGCAAGATTTTCATAAAGCTCAATGGCTCACCAGAAGAAGCTAAGGTCAAAATCATTAGAGATCTGACTGATCTAGAAGTCTACCTGTAACCGCGCCATACTACCTGAATGATGATCTATGACTGTGTTCTTCTTTGCATAATCTTACAAATTGTGCATTATGTCCAACCATGTTTATGCTGATGGGGTGTCTACCCCCCATGACACGGATCCTCTAGCCTTTAATCCATTTGACCTAAACTCAGATAACAGAGGTATCTACGATAAATTTTTCAACCCAGATATAAATCTCTCAAACTCAAACAATGTAATTCGATCATGTAAATACTATTCTGAAGATCAGTTCAATGATCTGTCCTGTACTCTTGCACCTGATGACTCTTATATCCTAAATGACTTCTCAGCGTGGCACTTAAATGTTCGCAGTTTACCAAAAAACTTTGACAACCTAAAAATATACTTATCAACCCTAACTTTTTCTTTCTCAGTAATGGCACTCTCAGAAACCTGGCTAAAGGATGATATCACAGATCTTTACCCTATATCTCAGTATAATGCTATTCATTCATGCAAAAGAAACAAGGTGCTCAAAGACTCAAAAACTTTACCACTTGAAAAGAGATTTCAGAACCACTAGAAAACATACGAGTGGAATCTGTATTTATCGAAATCTCTTCTTGTCGTCCCCTTCATGGGAAAAATATTATAATTGGGTGTGTTTACAGACCTCCTGACACTGACCCAATTTCATTCAATGAGGCTCTTTACTCCTCCCTTGAGTTTATAACCAAGGAGCATAAACTGTGTGTTCTTGTGGGTGATTTCAACATCGACCTGCTTAAGAGTGAATTACCCTCTACCGTTGACTTTCTGAACAATCTTTACTCAACCTACTTCTTTCCACTAATTCTCAAACCATCTAGAATCACCAAATCATCAGCTTCTCTCATTGACAATATTATAATCAATTCACTTGACTATGAAATCACCTCTGGGTTGTTAACATCTGACATCTCGGACCACCTCCTTGTATTCCAGATTATACATACTAAAGGAAATTATAAACGCAAAAACTCCGACTACCTGCAAAGTAAATCTCGCATCTACAATAAAAAGAACATGGAATCCTTTAAATCTTCCATCCGTACAGTGTCCTGGAATGAGGTTCTCAACTCATCAGATGTTAATGAAGCTTACCAGCTATTTTTAACTACATTTGAATCAATTCTCGAGGCTAGCTTTCCGTTAGTCACAGAGTAACTCATCCAAAGGGAAACCCTGGATGATGGGTGAACTAAAAAAGTACTCTCGTAAAAAAAACAAACTATATAGGAAAGCTATTAACAATCCTACTCCTGAAAATATTGTAAAATATAAGAAATATAAAAATAAATTTACTGCATTCTTAAGGAAGGTTAAAAAAACATATTATGCTGATAAGTTTACTCAAGCTGCCAATAACATTAAGTCAACCTGGAACCTCATCAACCAATTACTTAAGAATTGAAAAAGAAAACTACTGCTGCTGTAGCTGTTGAAATGATGAGAGGATGGGCCTCTACGTGACCAGAGTGACATAGCAGAGAGTTTTAATGATTTCTTTATAAACGTCAGTACTTCCTTGGCTTCTAGCATGAAAGACTCAGATGTAAATCCTACAAGTTTCATTAAAGGCACATTTTCAACACTCTCTAGTTTTGATCCTCCCAGTTTAGAAGAGGTCCATGACATTGTTAGGAATTTAAAGGACTCTGCCCAGGGTCACGATGGTATTAAAAGCAGTCTTGTCAAAGAATCTATAGATACCATCATTCACCCCCTAACCCACATTCTCTCTTTATCCCTTCTGTCTGGTATTGTTCCTCGAGATCTTAAAATTGCCAAAGTTACTCCAATATTTAAATCAGGCAATACGAGAGATTTTGGCAACTATCGCCCAATATCTGTTCTACCCTGTTTTTCCAAAATCTTTGAAAAACTAGTCTATGCGAGAATCTCCGACCACTTGACGGTTAATAATGTTTTGTATAATCACCAATACGGGTTCCGCAAAAAACACTCAACTGAGCATGCATTGCTGCAACTTGTTAATACCGTTTCTTCTGCTCTAGATGGGAAAACATTTGCCCTTGGTGTCTTTCTTGATTTAAGCAAAGCTTTTGACACTGTCGATCACAAAATCCTCATCTCAAAGCTTAACAGATATGGAATCCAGAATATTGCCCTCAACTGGCTGATCGGTTATCTAGAAAATAGAAAGCAGTTTGTTCATCTAAATGGTGCTTCATCCACTAAATCCAGTATTCTCTTTGGGGTCCCTCAGGGATCAATCCTGGGTCCTCTGTTATTCTTAATTTATATCAATGACTTGCCTATGTCCTGTAATAACCTTCTCCCCTTGTTATTTGCTGATGACACCTGTTTCATAGATGTCCATGCTGACTTTGAGAC